AACTGTCTGTCTGGATCTTGTCAGAGTGATCTTTGGATAAGAATTAGCCAATTAAGTACCTGAATTTTCCACTTGATTGGACATGCAAGACAGCAAAAATGATGTGTAGATTAGTCCTACAATTTTTTAAAAGTAAATTTTAAGACTCCTACTTTACAAATTTAGTCACTGCTTTTCATGCCATCAAGTCATTTTTCTGAATTTCTGATTTACATGTGCCATATAGATGTGCTTAAATAATATTCTACTTTGTGTTTTTCTTTTGGTGATGACATTATTGGGAGAAATCCCCAAATGTCATCTCTAGTTGCAGATTTCCACTCTTACTGATTCCAACAACTTGAATCCCTGTATTCTAGCAACACCTCGGATTCCACAAGCCAATGGCTCTAAGGTTTTAACTGAAGTAATTTCTCACTTGAGACCCAGGATACAGCTACTCCTACAAACTGGTGACATTATGCAGTGGCCAAAATGCTACCGTAACACTACCGTGATAGTTTTTTAGAGGGCTTTGCAATATGAACTTGGAAGATTTTTATTTACCATAGATCCAGGGTTGGCACACTTTCTCCATAAAGGCACAGGTAGTAAATATTCTAGGTTTCTCGAGCCATGTGCTCTGTGTTCTTCTGTCCTTGCAATGCAAAAGCAGCATAGACAATAGGTTAGTGAGCAACGGCTGCTGTTTTCCACTCCAGTCCATTTGTGGACATGGAAAACTGAATGTCACTTACTCTTCATATGCCATGAAGACTCTTCTTTTTGTGCCTTTTAATCATTTACAAATTTACAACCATTGTTTGTAAATTGGTTTTTGCTGTTCAGAAACACACCCTGGACCGGATTTGGTCAGTAGACCATAGTTTGCGCACGCCTGCTGTAGAAGTTCAAATCATTTATGTATTCTCTTGGTTGTATAACCAGCATTGGGCAAAAGAAGGAGAAACGTTTTTATCTATTTTTTTAAAGATTTTATTTATTTATCTGACAGAGAGAGGGAGTATAAACAGGGGGAGGGGCAGAGAGACAGGGAGAAGCAGACTCCCTGCTGAGCAGGGAGCCCGATGTAGGACTCCATCCCAGGACCCTAAGATCATGACCTGAGCTGAAGGCAGACATTTAACTGACTGAGCCACCCAGGTGCCCCTGGGTGGCTCAGTTTTTTAAGAGAAAGGTTTTTAAAAAGCAGCCAAATGATTCTTTATTAAGACATGCATTTCACACTGCCCTGCCATGTTTTTTTGTTTTTTGTTTTTTTCAGATGTCTTTCTACAATTCTTTACATTTGATAGATTAAATACATTTTGGGGGGATTCTCTCCTTGACACAGCTGTCGTGTGATATGCAGTCCTTTTTTAATCTTGTCATCAGGAGACCTTTGTACCCCTATATAAAGGCTATTAATTATAAATGTTTTCACCGTGCCTCTGTTAAAATGCAGTATGCAACAATGAACCAATTAACATTTTATATTTTCTAAACAGGAAAGGAGCAACATTAAATTTGCTTTGTAATGGCATAAATTCACTGGAACATTTGTTTCAATTTTCAGGATGGGTATTGCAATAATATTCAATACCCATGCTATGAGTAGTATGGATAAACTAACACATTTACTTCATTATGTTGAACTCCCATATTCATTGGAATTCTATTCGGTTTTATTATTTATGTTATCTGGTTATGGTTTGAGATCAAGGGGCAAACTGTGACTGAGTTTTCTCTAACTTCCTCGTACAAAACAAAGATTTATCAGATTAAGTAATATTTTACGCGACGATTATAGGAATTGTTACATAAACGCTTTCGTTGCTTTTTGGACTCTGAAGAATTAAGGGATGAAAAATAAATATCTGTGATATGCACAGACAGTTTCAATTCATCCTAGACTTTGAGGCAGGGAATCTTACTCTGAGCAGTGACATGCAAATGGGACCTAAGCTGTGCATTTGACAATTGGTGCTCCTTCTCCGGGCTGTGTTAACGTTTGGTTTATCTCTTACCATTGCATATGGTCTAAGTAGGTCAGTGCTTCTTGAACCAGCCTCAGAAGGAATGTTCCATGTTGATAGAGCAAGGAAGCAATGTCTTCCTGTTTAGTTAACGGTTATCCACGACGAAATGGATTTCCTTTGCAACCAGGGACTTTTCTGAGCCTCAAGCATGCTACTGTTCATTGTCAGCATCCACCCGCTGCACACTGCTGTCCTGCCTGAGACCAGACCGCTGGGTTCTAAGGTCAGGAGGCTCGTGTCCCGGATGGAAGAGGCCCAAGAAGATGCTCCTGTTAGAAGTGGTCAGTGACTTTAGAGAGTTAAAAAAGAGAAGCCACGAGTCCCTCACGATTATTTCCTGATACCCTGCCTCACGTCAAAAGGATTTGACAAGTTTGCAAGAATACATTGAGGCCAATAACAAGAAGAACTACAAAAAACGAGGAAAGAGGGCAAAGGAAAATAAATTGAAGAAAATGATAGGAAAGCAAGGGTAGCACTAATAAACCGAGTATTTATTTTAAGTTATATATAGTTTCCAGAGCTGGGCCACAGATTCGACTCTAAAATTTTCCGAGTTGCCTAAAAATGAAAGAAACTTGGTCCCTAATACCCATGGAGTATCCTCCAGAAACAGATTAACAAACCGAGAAACATAACCCCCAAGATGGGTCCTCGGCCAAGGATCGAAATATGATGTGGGAGACTGCGCTCTAGCCACGCTTGTCCCTGAGTTTCTCATGTTAAGTTGGAAAAGCAAGGCTGATAAATGTCATCAAGTTCTCGATGTCCGCTATCTCTCTTTTACTTCATTTAGGTCATTTTGATCGAATGGGTATATGCATATGTTTGAAAGTCAAACATACAGATGGCTTTATAATAAAAAAGTAACATCTTAGAGGGGCAGGATATCAGTCCCCCCCCTTTTTCCCTTCTCTCTCAGCTCCACCCTGGCCATCCAGGTCTTAACATTTATGACTTTACTATTCCATTGTCCAAGCGGCATGACGTGTATATTTGGTTATATAATCTTCTGTCCATTTTCATTAGTAGGATTGTAAGCTTGCATCAAGTGGATGTTCACATCGCTGTGGCTACAGTGGATTGAAAATGCATTCACTACACTTAGAGGCGCAAAGGAAATGAAATTTCTTATTCCCTGTAACTGATGGGATCTTAATCATGAACTCTGACCCTTCCGTGGAGCTGTGAGAACACGCCCTTGATGATGAATCAATGGGGTCATTGTGTCGTGGGTCCCGAAGATGGCTTCACACATCCAGGTTTGGCGATTCACTGGAAAGGCTTGCAGGACTCCGTGAACAGTCCTATACAGTAAGATTCCCTAGCTCAGACCACAATTCCAGACTCCCAGGGGGTAAAAAGGTGTTCAGCACAAACCAGGTTGTCCCCACAGACATTTATGAGGCTGCCAACCCTCTGTGTCAATAAATGAATGTGAGCATTCCTCAAATCCAACTTCCCAGGCGCCAGCCCAGGACCACCCTGGAAGCGGCCCCCCTAAGGACAGCAGTCTCAGGCTGCTAAAACAGCCCCATCTTCTGGTTGAAGCAGTGGCTTTTGGTTTAATGATCTGTGAATTCAGAAGGTAGCGCCTTTGAGATGGATGCTCAATTCCCAGATTCCCTCTGTTTCCCTTGTTTTTCTCTCAAGTTCTGTGTGTGTGTGTGTGTGTCTGTGTGTGTCTGTGTGTGTATCTGGTGCACCCATGTGTGGTAGATGTGTGGTGTGAGGTATGTCTGTGGCATGACTAAATGTGTGTGTAATGAAAGTGTTTGTGGCGAGATGTGTGTCAGTGTGTGGTGTCCCCGTGTGTGTGAGTGTGTGCATCTGTATGTTTGGTGCACCTGTGGGTGTGGGTATGCTGGTGCAGGGGAGCGAAAGTGAGCACTCATGGAGACCCAGGAATGGCTGAGATCCTTCTGTGCCTTCGGAGTTTTCACTGATTTGTGCAGGAGCGTGGCCAGGAGGCTGCTTGGTTTGGCTCGTGCAGCAGGGTGGGCCACTGCTCATAAAAACCTCCAGCTCGGCCCCGGTGTCTTTGGTCGTAAAATCCCCACAGCCACCAGCTCTTGGCTCTAACCTTTCTCTGCCCAGCTGGGCACAGTCCCTAGAACGCAGCTGCTGGAAGCTCTGTCATCCCCGCACCTGGGGACACCTACCACCCGTCCTCCTTCTCTGCTGCAGCCTGTTGCAGATTTCCAGAAATGCCTGGAAATTTCTCCTCAACCAACCCTCTGTCTTCCATTTTCCTTACTGTTATGGGTTTACATGGTGCTTGTTCAAATGTGGTTTTCCCTGTGCCTCAGGAGAGGGAGGAGGTACCCGTGCCTGCTCAGCCTACCAGCCGTGACAGGTGGCCCTCCCACGTGTGCCTCCACAGGCTTCACGACTGCCCGCGAAGGGTCCTTTTGAGTGGGACGGCAGGGGTGTTTTCATTTAGAAGTAATCAGTTGGGCACCTGGGTGGCTCAGTTGTTAAGCGTCTGCCTTCGGCTCAGCTCATGATCCCAGGGTCCTGGAATGGAGCCCTGCATCGGGGTCCCTGCTCGGGGGGGGAGTCTGCTTCTCCCTCTGCCCCTACCCCTGCTCGTGCGTGCTCTCTCTCTCTCATAAATAAATTAATTAATTAATCTTTAAAGTAAATAAATAAAAGGCATCAGTTGAAATTGCAGTGAACTTAAGAAAAGTATTTCAGTTTTTAAACAATTGAATTAACCACAGTAGGGAGACTACTACATGTGAATGTATAATGTGTTTGGATCAATATGCTAAAGATCATCTTAGTGTGCTTGTGAAAATAATTTTGATCTACTGGATCCCCCAATAGGATCTTGAGAACTCCTAGGTTCTGTAGATTATATTTTGAAAATCACTGGACGACACATTACTTTCATTACCATTTTATAATATTGGTAGATTTTAGAAAATGTACATTTGTGTTAAATTTCATGCACCAAGTACGTGTTGTTTTTTCTCAAAGGGTCCATCTTGCTGGGACGATGTCTTAATCCCAAACCGGATGACCGGTGAATGCCAATCTGCAAACTGCCCTGGGACTACAGCCGTAAGTGCCTGGTCAAATCCATTCTTTTCATTATCGCGTCTTCAGTGGTTAGTAGGAAATTAGAATAGAGACAAGAAGGCTAACTGATTTTTCTTCCATCTGATAGTATTCAGCCAAAGTGTCATCAGATTCGAAGTATTATTTGTATAGTCACCCCAAATTCTACCTTGTTCATTGCCATCCAGTGTCATTTTCCTAGAGGCTTAACCACTTTGGGTGACTATTTTGAAACATGTCAATTTAAACTCCTTACAGAGTGATATTCATGGAATATAAAGAAGAGCCACTTGGGAGCCTAGCAGAAGAAAGTAACAAAGATATAAGGTTAATCTTTGGGCTGGTGCTGTGATATTTTGTATTTATATTCCGTGTTGTTCAAAATTGCTTTCTTTCTTTATCTCTTTCTGCCTTTCTTTTTGTGTCATAGTGGGCTATTAGAAAATCTAGTGTGCATGAGCAGCTCTACAATTGCATGACCATCTTCTCTTCTCTGCACTCCCCTTACTCTTTGCAAGCATACGCCATACGTTGATGTTTCATATAGAGCAGATATTTAGTAAAAGCGATCCTAAGTACTGAAATTATTTTTTAAATCATTTTATATTCTGATCGTGTTTGTAATTTGTATATTATTTTCCTTTTTACCTCGAAAATTCCTGGATCTCTCATAATCTGACTGTATGTATCTCCTGAGCTGTAAATACTGTTATGGTGCCAACCCAGATGTCAGTGTTCGTTCACAAAGTGTCACAGCCAGCTGCCAGTTCGTATCTTTTCCCAGGAATAAAGTCTGTCAATAGCAACAGGTAGAGTCTTTGAGCTAGAACCATTAGGCCTGCCTTGTCTCTCCAATCTGCAGGGCGGTTGCAAGGTACGGAGGGAGAAGTGAGCAGCACTAACAATCATTTTCCATCAAACAGGGGCGAGGACCGTGAGCAGATTTTTATTAATGCAAATCCTGAAGAACAATAATGACTTGTTTGTCAGTCACATATATCCAGGCATAATCTAGTCTTGTAACTTTGCTACTGAGATGAAAGGAAAGTGAATATATTTATGGGGCAGAATTCTTCAGTATAATTACATACCCACCCATGTATGCTTACAAGTGCAAGTATGTATATATTATAGTGTATAATATCTCTTAATTACAATTATATGTAATAATAATCATATCTCCATCCATCGATTCATTCATCCATCTGCACACACATGCATCATCTGTTATGTGTAACGCTGCGGTCTCTGTATCATTTTTACAATCATGTGAGGTCCTTTGAAAACCTACTTCAATTCCTGATAGTCTGACTGCCTCTCCCAGACCTTGATATTAATTGGCAGGATTTAGTCACATCAGAAGAGACACTTTTGCATCTTAAGGATTTAGCTGCTGGGGCGCCTGTGTGGCTCAGTCGTTAAGCATTTGCCTTCGGCTCAGGTCATGATCCTGGGGTCCTGGAATCGAGCCCCGCATCGGGCTCCCTGCTCGGTGGGAAGCCTGCTTCTCCCTCTCCCACTCCCCCTGCTTGTGTTCCCTCTCTCGCTGTGTCTCTCTGTCAAATGAATAAAAATAAAATCTAAAATAAATAAATAAATAAATAAATAAATAAATAAATAAATAAATAAGATTTAGCTGCAAATCAGTCAAAGGGGGAAACTGCTGAGTGGGACTGAAAATCCTTTCCTTTGCTTGTTGCATATTCTACTTACCTTAGGTATCAGTACATGGAATTCAGCGTAAATTAAGGTATATTGCAGCTCTGTATCTGACAGCAGGGTGATCTGATATCCTTCAAAATCCTTTCAGTACCCACCATATAAAAATACTGGATTAAATTACAAACATGTATTTTTAAAAGAATGGCTGTGCTGACAACATAATAAGGAAGCGTATATACGTCAAAACCAGGAGAAAGCTGGACCCCAGAGGGGAAACTGTGTCAGCTGAAGTGAGCCGCCACCTTGGCAGCAACGACTGATCACTGGGGGCTGGAGCCTCAGTTGGGCAGGTGTCTATGGGAGGCTGCAGCTGAGTTTATGGCTTCATCAAGGTGGCAGATGAAACCACAGAATCCTACATAGAGCTAGTACCCATAAAACATGATACCCTTGTGGGATCTGCTGGAGAGGAAGGCGCTAGCTTCCTCGAGAGGCAGTCTGTGCCGGTCCCCGGCTCACTCTGATCCCCTGGTCGGTGTTCCTCACCCATGTGCACTGCTCTGCTGGCCGCCGCCTAAGGTCTCACGATGGACCAGATCCTGGGCAAATTCACACTCCCCGAGAGGGAGGAAGTCCCTACCCACCCTCCCAGACCACTCTAGGTTTGCAGACATCGTCCCCAGCCCAGAGTGAAGTCTGGACTCAGAATTAACTCTGAATTCCACACAAGAAGGTCTGTCCACAGAGCCCTTCAGTGTGTTTCGGGGGCCCCCTGAGGAGCGAGACAAATGAGCCCACTCCATGGTGCCTTGAGGTGTGTGCTGCTGGCCCTGAGGACCACCCCCTGCAGCTGGCAGCCATCCATTTCTGTTTGCAGCCCACCCCAACAGGACACCAGTGTGGCAATGTGACTTGTGATCGCATGGTGCGGGGCATACTGAGGAAGTGGGTCCAGGATAAGGTGATTCACAAGCCAACTGAAATCATCACAGCCGTCAACTACAGACTTAAAAAAACAAAACAAAACAAAGCACATATAGATGGCTCTTGTTTTTTTTTTTGTTTGTTTGTTTTTTATTTTTCTTTTAATCCATTCTGTCTCCTTATGTCTTTGGTTAGAGAGTTTAGTCCATTTGCATTCAAAGTAATCATTGATAGATATGTATTTATTGCCATTTTATTCCTTGTTTCATGGTGGTTTTGAAGATTTTTCTCTGATTCTTTCTTGTCTTTCATGTTTTGCTGATTTTCTTTTGTGATATATTTGGATTTCTTTCTCTTTATTCTTTGCATATTTATTAGTGGTTTTTGTAATATATGGTTACCATTTGATTTGTGTCTAACCTCTTCTGCACATAGTAGCCTATATTAAGCTGGTGGTGGTTTACCTTTGAACCTGTTCTTTTCTCCTCGCCTTTCCATGTTGTAGGTATATGTTATTATATTTTATATCCTTTTTTTTAAAACATGTTATTTATTTATTTGACAGAGAGAGACACAGCAAGAGAGGGAACACAAGCAGGGGGAGTGGGAGAGGGAGAAGCAGGCTTCCCGCCGAGCAGGGAGCCCGATGCGGGGCTCGATCCCAGGACCCTGGCATCGCGACCTGAGCTGAAGGCAGACGCTTAAGGACTGAGCCACGCAGGCGCCCCATGTGAGCTCTTAATTGCCAAAAATCACAGCAGTTAGGACATGGGCCCACTGGCCCGGTGGAGGTGATACAGATGCAGATCAAGGGGGAACAAATACATTTTGAACAAATTAACAAACAACATGTGAGATTGTAGGTTAAGATTATCTACCCCAAAAGCCAAAGTACATTATTAAAGATTTTTTTGAAAAGCATTATCAAAAATAGATTTTTTTAAAAGGTTCAATAACTCAGAAAGATATAGCATTTTAAAAATTGTATGATCTTAGTAACATGATCAAACCCAAAATATATTAAGGACAAATTCTCAGGATTAATAAGTATATGGATAAATCTGGCACGAGGGCAGGAGATAATAACATTGACCTCTGAGGGGCTGGGAGCTCCAGCGGCATGATCAGGAAGTATGTGGCAAATCAATGCAACCAGTGACAAGGGTTGCATCGTGAACACTGCACCCAACACCTGGAGATGCCTCCTTTTTTAAGCATATATGGAACATTTCAACAATTGATCATGTTTTGGGGCATTAAGGCATTTAAATAACACTTACAAAAGCATAACCATAAAAGTCTCTGAAACATGGAAATTCAATTAACTTAGCCAGTAAATCCAAATGGAAATATGAAACCAAACAACAATGAAAATACACCACATATCAAATCTTTGGGGATGTTGTGAAATTAGAATTTAAAGGGAGTATTTAGGACCATCAGTGCTTATTTTATAAAAGAAGAGAGAATAAATTTATTTCAATGTAATGTTTAAAAGGTAGAAAAAGAAATCGTCATATCCAACTATTTTTCTCTCATTTTTTAGTGAACACTAAATAAAAGAATTGAAGGCATGCACACTTTTTTGTAACCAGTGGCTGGCGGCACTCTCAGTGTGAGAAATTTAATTCATTCTTTCTCTTTCTTATCTTAAAACATTTTTTGTGTGAATTACATTTTTACAGTGCAGCTATATATAAACATTGACTCCTGTGTTTTCTAAGGCATTGTGTGTGGTGTTTATTTCTTAAGGAGATGAGAAGATAGGCATTTTTAAGTAGTTTATCATATTTAAATTTGCAGGATATTTTAGGTTTTTGACAGTATTTTATACACTATATATTATATTCTCATTAAGAAGTTAAATTTCTATCCCTTGAGAAAAAATATCCATATACTTAAAATTCAAAAGAGCAAGGTCACTAATATATTCATAATTAATATTTATACACTTAAAGATAATCTATTTAGATCATTTTAAATACAGTGAAATCTAAACTTGGTTTTTAAGAGTACAAATATAAACTTGACCCTCGCTACACTTTAGACGGAGAAATCTGTACCTAATTCAGTTTTACACTAATCGCTGTTACCTAAACAAAGGAGCATAGCATTAGTTCTGAAAGGCAACTTACCTTTTCATAAAAAGAATTCTAGTCAGCTGAGAGGGTATATATGCTTCTGATTTAAAGAGGGACAAAAATCACTTAGGATTTTCTCCATTAGTGAAATTAAATCAACTTTGGATATGACATAAGACCTTAAATTTTCTTTGTAAATCTTTTTTACGTTTTATGTATGATACCTTAAGCAACCAAGATATTTGTGTTTGTCCATGCACTGGGGTTATGTGATTTACTCAGTTGCACACACATAGGCTAAGGCATACCCAGAAGTCTTACTCTCTGGGTGTTATT